AAAAAAAACCAAAATCAAAACCAAACAAAACAAAAACAGCAATATAAAATAAAACCAAGTACAGGGCTTTGTTTCTTTTCAATAAATATTAAAAAATTGCTATATAGGATCTAATGTCAAGAAACCTTGCTCAAGGCACCGTGATTAAGCAAAATTGCCTATATCTTTTCATCACTCCAAAATTTGGCAATTAGTTTTGCACGTTTCTTTCATTTTTAACTATTTGGATAATGTATCTTTATGGTTAGTAACTTCATATGCTGAGACTTTTTTACAAGAAGTCGCTAAAATAGCTAGGAATAGCAGGCAAAAATCCAGCAGCGGATAAATATTTCTATATATTTGGTTCTGAACATCCAGTCCACTATGGGATGAACAGACTCTTCTCCTCCCCAGTGTGAAAAATCTTTTTTCTTGTCACTTAAGCAGATTCATGAGCAGAATTTTCTTTCGAGGCTTTCTTGGTACTGTGGAGAAAAAAATAAAATATAAAGGTGATAAGGAAGATGCTAGATGTTCCTTCTTATCTTATTTTTGAGAATTAAGATTTTAAAACTCCCTACTTAACAGGAAGACAAATTACATGCTCAGGCTTTTGCTTGATTTTATGTCAGCAGTCTCAAGGCCTGTCCAGGTCATTGCCCCAGCATAATGGCCAGCACGTGTGCATTTTTATGCAGAGCTAGATCTCAGTCCAGAAGTGTCCCCACGAGACCATTCACACACAGTAATTGAACTAAAATAAATACAACCACTTCTCTATCTGAAACTTTAGTGGGTAAAGTCCAAAGACTGTCCCCACGTCTAATCTGGGTCAGGAAAATTATTGATAAAAATATTAAAGTGCACTAAAGGGCTATTAAACAAAGGCAGAATCTCTGATCCATAGAGCTGAAACTCCCAGGAATTCACTCACCTGATGGCTGCCATCAGAAAGCTAACAAGAGCACCTTCAGAAGCCTGCTCCATTCTTGTGCCAGCCTCCAAACCTGCTGCTGGCCAGCACAGGGGGAGGGCTCTGAGCTGACCCAGGATGGAAGTTTGAATGTTCTGTAGCTCAGGGTAAGTGCTGAGACAGAGACATGCCTTCCTCTTTGTGCTAGTGCCTTGTCTGTAAAGCTCCCTAACAATCCCTCATTCTTGTCCACCGAGTGACTGTGAGAGGCACCTGCTCCTCAGACATGCCAACAACCACACAGGGACAGTGAGCAGAGAAGCAAGCCAAGAGCTTTTAAGCTGCCAAAGTGGCCATAAGCAAACCTCTGGTTAGTCTGGGCTGTGATGCTTTTGAAGCCTTAAGAAGACTAGTGCACAAATCAATTAAAGGGGAAGTTTAATTACCACTCCAGTGGTAATAAAACAATCTAAAACCAGTAGTGATTACTTGTACCCTCCTCTCTTCCTGTTGGCAGGCTGCTCCGAGCATTTCACAAATATTGCTGCCTCTTCTCCCTTGCTGAGACGCGAAGTGCCATCTCGAGAGCAGAACACCACTCTGTGGAAAAAATATTGGAAGGATCACAAGACTGAGCCAAACACCCCTTTTTAATCTTAGAAAGAAGACTGGTGCTTGGAAACGGTCTTTATACTTTGTCATGTGGGGCACTGCTGCTTTGCAAGCCTGTGAGAAAGTTATTCTTAAAAGAGAATTCTGTAACAAAAGAAATGCTGTGCAAGAACTGGTAAATGAATTATACATGGGCATCAAAGCATAGGCATAACTTTTACTGATCCTTTGCAAAAAATCTTCTTGTGGCTAAGACAGCAGAAGTTCTATCCTAAAGCCTCTTGGATCTTTATTTACACCAGTCTTTATGTGAGTTTTTTGTCAGGTGAATGAGCTGGGAAGAAAGCCATACTCCCTCACACGTGTGCAAACAAAGCAGGTTGCAATTTCCAGAAAACATGAGCACTCACTTTTCTATTTATCAGAACTTTCCCCACCCCTATATTTGTTCAGCTTTGATAACTGTTCTTTGATCAAGTGACTGACCTGTTTATTCAAAGAAGGAACTTATTATTATTTACTATACTATACATAGGACACACATACTCTGTTCTGGGCCCATGTTCTGCAAACAGATCTCATGTTTAGTGAATATGAGTATTTCAAAAGATTCATGTCAAAGCACTTCTGTTCAGGCTTTGATGTTTCAACATTCACGCATTAGCAATGTCCTGCAACAGTCACGTGTTTCAGTTTTCACCCACGATTCAGGTATTCAACCCCTAAAAGAATCCAACTTAACTAAGCAATAAATTCTTCTGCAAGCACACATTTGGAAGGATCTCTAAAAATCTCCATCTAAGTATGCTCTTTGTGACAAAGCCTATACAAACACCCAGCATGAAGGAGGAGGACAGAAATTGCAAATACAATCACTGGTGCTGGTTCATGGAGATACTCTCTTGCATATTATAACTAACCTTCAGCAGATACAATAGTGGGATACGAAGACTGGACCTGGCTGATACAAATGGTGGTTTGATATCACTGGAGCCCTGATTATCATTTATGCTGCACCTGTTTGCAACTGTAAGCAGTTACACATTTGTTCCAGTCTGTGAGATACCAAAATCAGGAAGCACTGTCAATTAGAACTAATATAGCTTATAACAATCAAAACAAGTTACTTTTTCTGAGTTTCCCCTGACTTCATTCTGATTCTCTGGATGTCAAATGTAAAAGGAGTCCACCAGTCTGACCAGCTGAAGAAAGTGTCTTTTTCCCACTGCAGCTTCACCATAAGCAGGTCTCCAATATCCACTTCTGTGTAAATCAGGAAGGAGAAGGTCTTGTTTGAGGAGACTTCAGGCCTGCGGGGAGGAGAATAAGAAAGCAAACAAATTAAAAAAACCCCACCTGAAATTCTTGGACAGAGACAAAGAAAATTAAGGAGCAATAGAATCTGGAATTTTTGTACTCCAGAGAAGGAAGCAAAAACACCTCTACCATTTGTAGAGGCAAAAGGAAACATCCTTCTGCAGCAAGACTGGTAAAATCCTGACACATCTGCCAGGCAAGGGTTGTCCTCCCCTGTGCTGGTGACTCTCAGAAAAGCCAGACAACCATCCATAACCAGTTTACATTCCTCAGAGCAGAAAACAGGATTTGGTGTTTTCCAGCTCCATTCCCTGCCAGCCTGTGTTTAGGGATGTACACACAAACTTCTGCTTATTTGCAGAGCTGTCAAAGCAAATCCCAAGTCTCCTTCAGCTTCTGCACTGAGACCTTCAGATGCATAAGTATACTTTTAGGAAGATTTAGCATGGTGTAAAGACACTGAGAAGAAAATAAGAAAGCACTGAAAACACTCTTATTAGGTTGAGTCACAGGTCAGACTTCACATTTCCATATTTCAGATGTCTTATCAAGAAGACCTCCTGTAGGATTTGGTTCATTAGCTTCGGAAGTGAATGCAATTCCTTGTCCAAGGACAAGAGCAGATTCTGAGACCCTGGAAGATTAGTGTAGCTGAAGGCAGAACAAGTTTTCAGTTGAGACTAACAAAGTTATAGTACGTTGCAGTTGTTTCTGTAGCTACTCACAGTGTGAAACCAATGTTCTCACTCTCAGCTAGGGTGCCATAGAGAGAGATCAGGAATGGCTGGTTTGTCTTGGTCATGTTAGTCTTTCCAAAGAAATGGATCTTGACCTGGTAATGAAAGACTGAAAGAATACAAAAGAAAATGCCATTAGGAAAACTCAATTTCCAAAGAGACAGCTAGTGACAAAACCACCCTGCTTCTCCTCTGAAAACCCTAAGCTGGAATATGCCAGCTTCACTAAAATGAGTTTATTTCCCTGCAGGTGTCCAGGGAACTATTTTTGTGAGAATGTAAATATTAGCAAGCAAGCAATCACCATTAAAGAACACATTTGCAGTTCTTCCAGTTAAACTTCTCATTCAAGCTGCCACTGTAATAACCCCAGAGTATGCAGTACCACCTTTAAACCTGCTATTAAACCTGTAAGACTTGCAATACTTGACTTATAGCAAGTAAGCTGCATCCCTCTCTTACAGGAGGCTTGGTAAAAGGAAAAAAAAAAAAAATCAATCCACTGACACTGCAGGTTAAGCACCAAATGCCAACAGAACACGAGTCTTGCAGCTGCTCTAACAGTGCAGGAATGTGCCTTTTGATTACTGGTCCATCACACGATGCACATTATAAGCATACCATGGGGTATAGGCAAAGCCAAGGATGAAAATAAAGTAGTAAAATCCAGTATTATTTTCCTAGCTGGGAGGAAAATATTTTCCAAAATATTGCCAGTTCTCCCTGGCATTCTCCTTCTCAGACTTCCCACAGCAGCAACTACAATCAAGAAGTGCTGAGATATTTTAATGAGGGCTCGTGGTCCTCTAGCAAATGCACTACCAAAGGCACAAATCTGATGCTTACATATCTTTAACTAAGATGCTCATCAGACTGAGTTCTGCCAATTATTTCCCTGGCAGAAAGAAGTAACCATTCAGATGAAAAACATGGAAAAAGTTCCAAGTGATCAGGCAGCAGAGGAAGTCTAACTTTTGCTACTTAGAAACTTGTTACAAAATACCTTTATTTTTGCACTCTACCCCACACCTCGAGTTAAGACAACATTTTTCTCTAAGACTTGCATTTAAGGAAAACTACAGGCCAGCTTCACCCCTACTCAGCACAGGCACCAAAGCAGCAGCATTCTCATCTGCAGCCCATGCCCATCATGACACACAGCTGAGCACAAGCACCAGGCTCACTCACCAGTAAGCAAGGAGTGCCTACCTTTATAGGGCATCTGAGCACGGGTTTTCAGATACATTTTGGTGTTCCTCTTTGTTCTCACTCTGTTGACCTTGTAACCCAGATTGTTGCAGCGGTTCTTGCGGCAGCTCAGGCAGAGGCCCTTCTCAAAGGCCTCCTTTGTGTTGCAGCGGTAAGCCATGCTTGGCTTTTCTTCATTGAGGAGAGAGTCGATGAAGAGGTGGATGGATCGCTCATGGGAGCATTTCACCAGCTGATCCACATCTTAAAAGAATGAAAATGTGCAATATGTATACATGCGTGCACATAATAATATTAATCCCTAAGCAATGCTGTCAACAGGCATGATCCACTACAGTGGATCTGGGCTTGACAAGATGACTTTTAAAAGCACTTGAAAGAACATATTCCTGTGCCTCTCAGAGACACCTTGCAGGTTTCCCTCAAAATGTTATACTGTTTGTTTCAGAGCAACCTCACCTCCAAGCCCTTTCTCAGCAATCAGACGCAGTGCTTCTCCCAAATTGCAGCCTGGCTGGAAACCTCCACCATTGGGATAAATATCAATATGTCCAACAGGCTTCTGGATCCCAATGCTGCGGTCTGGAGAGCCTCGGGTGTAGGTGTGTAGGACATCCACAAACTCAGCATCATCCGGGGAGAGGCGAGTGACTTCATCAGCATACTCAAAGGTAGGACCAGCAGGATCCAGCCCTTTATGGGGAAAACCATAACGAAAAACTGGTATTATTGTCTGCCAAAGGTACTGACGTTGATAACAAATGCCAAACTCAGCTGCCACATTGGACTAGAATATGGAGTTTTCCTGCAGACATTACAGATGGATCACTTAAATATCATTAATGTATACAGGAGAACCAAAAGCACTACCTTGAAATGTCGTCACAGTTTAAAAAAATAAGTGTATGCAAACACATGGAAGGAAGCCCAGCTAACTTCCTCAGAGCTGTAGCATTTCCAGTGGATGGGAGAAACAAGCTCATAAGTATTTTCTCAGTGTCTTTCTTTCTTGTCAAGAAATGTAGAACTTGTATCTGAAGTGTCTGAAGTATGGAAAAGTCTTGCTGACAACTCCATGCCAGGGGAACAAGTGGGAAACATAAATGAGGGCTTCACTGTCTACATACCTAAGGGGAAGGGGATTATGATAAACTGTCAAACTGCAGCCACACTAACATCAAAAAAACTGGGATCACAGTCAGGCTCAGGTAAAAGAGTAAAGTGCTAGGTGCTAGGCTCCCTTCTGAATGGTGCTCCCAAGCTCTCTCAGCAAAGACACCACAGATGAGCAATTTTCTTAGCCTCATTTGCTGATGCAGGCAATTCCTTTGCCAATGAGATCAGTGCTAGTAGCTCAGCTCTCGAGGTGCTGGGTTGTAAGCCAGCCCCAGAGTGGCCATGCACTCAGCTTTGTCTAGCAGATTTCTCAGGCTCCAAAAATCAGGCATCTAAGCAGACATAGCAACAGGGAAAATATATGTTTTCCCCAAATTCTCATAGCATTATTTCCAGCACAGAATATTTCTTGAGCCTATTACCATAAACTTTTAATAATCCACACTGGATCTCTTCTGTCTCCCTTTGAGCCCATACAAACTTCTTGCATCTACATCATCCCATGGCAAAGAATTCTGCAAGTACTAAACTTGCTGCAGCAGAATTTACTTCCTGTTCAGTTTCAATGGCTCCTATAAGCTGCAAGGAATGACTGCCTGGATAAAGACAACCCACTGAATTTCTTATGCTGCAAGAGATACTGCGACCTTTGACAAATCATGGTTTGGTCAGTCCCCACCACAACCCCCAAAACCACTCCTTTATCAGGGCCTACTCACTCATTTCTTGTAAAGAAGCAAAGATTTTTCACTCACCACCCTTGTTGTTATTTTCTGAATATTTTTCCAGTTCTACCCCAGAAATATCAGCCCTGCTATTTTATTAAATCACGAATACATAGCCAAAGTACTGACAGCAAGCAACAATTATTCTGGTGATTTTTCAGTGGAACATAATATTTCTGTATGGAAGAAATGTGACTGTCCACTCTACAGTCACAGGTTTTCTTACCAGTAATTCTGTTCACCTTCTTTTTGGTCAGATTCCCAGCAATCCCAGCAGCATGAGCACCTAGACTGTACCCCAGCAAGTGGAGATTGTTGAGGGGATAATTGAATTCCTCCTACAGAAGAGAAAATTTTGTTTAAAGTTCAAAACCAAACACAAAAAATGTAAGAAGATACAAAAAACGTTTTGTTAATACTGGGATTTTTGTTTGAGCCGTGAATAACAGAAAAAGCACTATATAGTTATCATAATTTTGTGCCGTTGTAAATTTCTTTATCTAACTAATTTATGGCCAAAATCAAAACAGAGGAATGCAAAATAAAGGACAGAACACGGGACTATTTCTTTTAGAAAGGTTTTCAGCCACTCCCTCCCAATTCCTGGATCTCCTAAGGCAGGGCACATTTCCAAATGCCAAGGACTGGTTTCTGTATAATATATAGGAGCCTGTCTTTCATAGCTACCTCTCACAGAACCCTCAGAAATACTCTATACACATGGGACCCCGTGGTAAAATCTTTGGAATGCAGTACAAAAGGCCTCTGAGTGGGAGATAGCCAGTAGACCAAAGCTGGAATTTTACCAGTCCAGCAAAACTAAGGTCTGCAAGAGTTTTACTCCATCTACCCAAGAGGAGATGATTAACATAGCTGTGTCATTGCTGTTTTGTCTCCCATGACACTACGTAGAATGTGAGACATGTCTCCATGTCTTACCTCCATCCAGTCAATAAAAGTAGCAACATCCTTTCCCACCAGCCTGGTGTACGCAGCCGACACCGGGTAGTGCTCCTGAGCTCGAACCAGCCAGTCCACCACGATGACATTTGAGTCTGGCTCCCTCTTGTACAGAGCATCCACCAGCTTCGGGACCCAGCTCTCATACATCCCTGTCACCTGTAGGTTTTGGCGATTTTAATTAAAATAGGAGATATATTAATATGTCTGTGAGACGTTTCCGCGTAGTTTATCATAAGTGTGGCTAAAAGGGAGATTCCTCCCACTTTATCTTACCGTCCACCCATGGATCACCACAAAGGTTTTACTGGTGTGATTGAAGTTGCACCGTGCCAGGCTGTTCACCTGCCCAGGAACCAGGTAGCAGACATCCTCATCGGGCTCTGCAGGTGTCCGTAAGGAAAACTTGCTCTCGATTCCCTCAAAATTGTTTTTGCCTTCTGCTATAGGAGCACAAAAAACATGGCAGTGTTTTAGAAGTACTAGGACGAACTCAGAAGGTATAGGTGCAATATTGGAGAGATATCTGGAACAGACAAAAAACGGGATGGGTGGTTTTTATTTCCTACAGCACTCAATGGACACACAACTGCCATGTAAAGGGAAAATCAAAGGGTGAAAATTGCTCCCCTTCCTGCTAAAACAGTAAAAATCTGCTGAGCTGTCAGAGAGGTATGAATACATTTTGAGAGTCAGTATTGTCCCTATTACATTAAGCAGGAAACCTCTTAAGTATCACAAGAGTACAGAAAACTGCACACAACAGCCACAGACAGGAAAGCAGAGCGTTACTACCATATTATTACATATTTAGGTGGTGTTTCTTCCACATCACCTCACCAATAATCACTGCCTAGCAAGTCCTTTTATAAATCCGTGCACTTGTGCATTAAAAGCTGTGAAGCCACCACTGTTTTACAAAATACTAGTTTTAAGTTTTGGCCAACAAACAGCAGGTGAGAAGATCAGACACCCATCAGAGAAACTGAACTAGCAAACCAGCAGTCTGTTTTGGAGTATATTTTCAGGTAATATGATAACCTACAGAAAAATAAGTTGCAGAAAAATATCTTTCTCTGCCTGAAGCAGAGGGAAGGAGGCTGGGGAAAGAGGTACTGATCTCGTACTGGTGGCAACAAAGATCACTCTGCAAAGATCACTCCCTCCAACTTCCAGCTTCAAAATTTAAGTAGTCCTGTGCCTTCCAAGACAGAGAAGTGACTTTAGGCTTCATACTCACCATTTCTTTTGGTAAGAAACTTAAATGTCTCCTCTTTTTAGGTCTGATTCAAGTCCTAAATGCCTCTATGTATAGCACACCCTGTAATTAACTTTTCAAAACCCAGGCCCCTGTTTGGCAATGTGAGTTACGCAAATATTGATTGCCTGTTTTTCGAGTGCAGCTGAACTTAGGCCAGCTCTGTCCTGCTCAGCATTGTCTTTCCTGGCATCAAGACCACCAACCTTTCACAAACTCCTAAACACATATTAATGAATGGCTCTGAGCCACCATAGGGACCACAAACAGACAAGATAAAGCATGCAAAACAGATTTCCTTTTCCCATTGCAAAAGAGGTTTTCTATGATAATTGGTATATTTGCATAAAGTTGTGCTGTGTCTCTCAGGTGATAAATAATTAACAATTCATTTTTTTCCAAAAGAGTTTTTCTGGTCTTCTCATTCAAGCTACCATACACAACAGGGCACTGACTTGTGCCTGACCTCACCTCATGTAGCTCTAAAAATTCTGGGAAGTTCTTGCTGTGCTTGGAGGGTCACAAAAAATCAGGATCTAACCTCCCTCACCAGGTCTAAAACCAGCACAGAGCCTTTTGCAACAAATGCTTATGTAGCAGTCTCAGAGAAACTCTTCAGCCATAATCAATGGCCTAAAATTTCCCAAGTTCAGCAGGATTTCTCACCTGTCAAAGCACATGCAGGAAAGCAAGAACCATTCACTGAACAGAGGCAGTACTCAGCTTTAGGTTTTGACCTTGACTGTGCTAGGCTGGCTAGCTAATCCAGGATAATTACACTGAGGGCCCCCTTCCTGCCTCCTTCCTTCTAAAGAAAGGTATTTTTCATAGACCTTACCCATCCTTCTACCAGTACAAGCATTCACATAATGGTAAATATAACATTTTACCCACTAATGAAAGATAAATTTACCAAACAAACCAAATGTTTGCACTTTTTCTCTATTTCTGCATGTTCAAAATTTCTCTTTGTCACCAACTGACAGTATAAAACACTTTTTTTGGAAAAAATCTTTAGACCTATATTATTTACTTTTCTGCCAGAAAAAGAAAAGTCCCAAAGGCTGGTTGGTTAAATATCAGCTATATTTTTTCACTCAGCTGTGAATCAGTAAAACTTTGAAAGGAACAAAACAGCTTTCAATTGTAAGGCATACAGTGCTAGGACTTTCAATTATGTATATTCCCTCCTAGCACAGGAAGGCGAAAAAGAATAGTCCACCTGCTCACTAGTTAATAGTGCTTCCTTTCATACCTAAATATCATTTCCCTTCTGGATTAAACTTATCTGATAATCATCCAAAATCTAAATTACATTGATATCCTGTCTTGTAGTGTGTTTTCAATTACAAACACATGCTAGAATTTGCATGTAAGTTCAGACCACAGCTCTTTTGAAAACAAGCTCATAGGAAATTTACAATTCAAAGTGTACTATACTTAAGGGTACACTTGGAAAAGTGCACCAAGCTTAGAAAGATTGCAGTACAGTGGCACCTGCCACTGAAGACGTGCTAAGTGCTTCACACATATTTCTGTGTTTTTATCTAAAAGTCTTTGATGGGGATTTGAGAATAAAAAATCACTGAGATAGAGTCACCATCAAGAAAGAAGCAGCTGCAAAGCAACAGCCCATGAGTTATGGCAGGCAGCCACTTTATTCATTTAACTATGTTGTATGAGGATTAGAAAGTCAGAAGAAATTACTGTTATCATCTTATGCCCACAAAAAGTGTCATGTTATCTTATGTCCACATATGGTCAGCTCTCAGCAGGCAAGATACCCTTTGGATCAGGGAAGTGTGTGTGTAGTGGAGTTTATTACAGACTCCTTTGTGGTGTGCTCATCAAGAAACTTTCCTTGGAATTTGCCTGAGTTTGGCTTTGAAAATTCTATACAGCTCAGAGCAGAAGATATCTTGCCTACACCTAATGCCGTGCTGCACACATGCTGCAGTACCACCTCACATCCTGGCTTGTGCAGAGTACAGGTACACACAGTGTGTGCACAGCCACCACGCAGATCAACACCTGCATATACCATGCTTTAAACCTGAGGCAGAGAAGTTCAGCATATCACTTCAGAAAACAAGCATTTCCCACTTCTGCTTTCATACCTCATTGTGTTTCTTGGTCTATTAAAAAAATTATTCAGAACCAAACTTTGTCATTCATAGAACTTTTGCCACAGACCCTTTCCTCACAAATCCAAAGGGAAAAGTCTCCTTGAATCATGTCCTGAGCCACTGAACCTTGGGGCATCATTCTCACAGTCTTACACAAAGAAGTGCAAAGACAGCCAATGTACACACTCACCACAGTTCAGTTAATGACTGTTTAACTCAAGTTAATTAAACCACAAAAAACCCCAAAATAGGTAGTTTTCAGCAAGTTTCTGAAAGGTGGACAGAAATTTACCTGAATTAAGATAGCATTTCTCACAATGTAGATACAGAAATTAGATATCAAGAAATACACATCCATCCAAGTTGAGAAATCGAAGTAGCCTTTTATGACAAGAATGCAAGTCACATTTCTAAACAAGGCCTTTGAATAAAACAGACTGGAAGCAAACACATGCAGACAAAAAAGAAATCCATGCTTTTGCTAAAAACTACACTTTCCCAGACATAGTTCAGCAAAGGTACAAAGGCATGTGCTGTGTGTTGCCAGAGATTCCAGGCACACAGTTACAAATACAAGCATTTGTTGCAAAGTTTTCTGTCTACTGCTATGTGCTCACAGTTAGCATGACCTATGAAGGGATTATTTAGGGAACTGAAGCAGAATTAAGAATTAAATGACCAATTCCAGATGGAAGCTGGCTTTTCAGTCTGCATCGCCAAAATCTCACCATTTTGTCATGCTATACAAAGTTTTCTGATGCTTTTCTTGCACCCCTACTTGCACAATACGAGTTTCCATATTTAAAAAAAAATAAAAAGCTGTCCTGTGCAGCAAGGTCTTGAAAATCTCACAGAACTCAAAGAAAGTGGCAGGGTGAGGAGGAAGCTTACAAACTGGAAAGTCAGTTGTTTTGTTTTCCCTGTCCAAAGTTTGTGACACTTTGGACTTGCAACTGGTGAAATTCCTTTCAGTTAGGGACTCCTATCAATTATCAATTTTGAAAGCATCCCACTGACTTCAGGCATTCTGGCACACCAATCAAGAGAATTCAGTCTCAAGTTTCTTTCACAGGAAGCCCAAGACAACTTGGCTTGACTGTGAAAATGTTTACCACTGGTCAGCTGGGTGGAGAATGTGAGTCTTGAGGAAGTAACAACATCTGGAGTTTTACTCAAAAGTTAAACTGCCCACATCACACAGGTTGCCAAAATATGATAACAATGCATTTGCCAGAATGAGTGCACCTAAGCTATGGTTTTAAAAATGGAATCTTTGATAAACAACAATTTCCTGACATTATGCACCCAGAAATAGAAATAGTATTAGCTAGGTGCAAAGAAATTATACTGCTAGACTGTGTCTTCTATAGCCTACAGAGACATGCATGCACAGCAGCAAACATCTGCACATAACATCAAATATTTACCAGTGTAGTTAACTGGGCTAAATCTTCCCTCATCCGACAATCAGCATTAGGAACACCCTTGAATCTGTCATACTGAATTTCTAAGAGTTCTGAAGCAAACTCACAGTCAGCTGTAGTAAAGGGCCTATATCACAGAAATGGTTGTTGTTCAATTTGATCTACACTATAAACTGAAAGCAGACAACTGTGTGTTGCAATCCCAGGAAACCTACATCACAAGTCAGGTTACTGTTTAACCTTGCTGCAAAAACATTACAACTTCACGTTTATTTATGTATTCCTCAATGGCAGAGCCCTGAGAGTATGTTCTGCTTCACTTCCCAGGTGGGGCCAGTGGAAAGGGCAACACCTTTGGAAAGCTACTGGGCACAAGTTCAGAAGCTGAGTAAGAACCTCCCAGCTCAAGTTTTGCAGCTGGCAAACTGCTGTTCTCTCACAGGGGTGTACACGGGGTGCCCACCCCTCTCCGTGGTACTCCCTGACAAATCTTTACTCAGCTGCAGCTGGGGCTCCTGAAACTCAATCCAGCAGATATCTAGCCATCCATCAGTCCCTCTGGAATATCTGGAATTAGCTGAAGACAAAATGCAAACACCGTCAGACTTTGCAGTAACACAGAGGTAAGGATGCATGAGAAAGTCCTATCATGCAAGTACTTCTGCACAGAGAAGATTCCACCAAACTTTTAGGAGTGCTAGTCATCATGATAATCTCCAGAACAACTTGAGGCCAAGAGCCTCACCTCTGTGCCTTCTCAGAAATGCAGTGTTTCTCGAAGGCCATGCCACAGCTGCCCTGGTATGTCTATCCCAAACACAAACCATAGAAAAAAGCCAGCAGCTCACATCACACAGCAGTGTAAATATGCTGACTCTGGATTTACACTGTTAAAGATAAGAATCTGAATGTATTTATAATATGTTTTTATCTTTTCCTGGAACATCAATGTTTTCTTCACCTAGAAATATTTTTCTATGTTGTTTTTTAAATACTCTGGATTCCTGGAGGGCTGGATCATGTGTTTTCTGTGGTTTCAAAAAACTTTTTACTGTGGTGTGCATGGAAAAGTGCGGAAGCACGGCTTGAATTGCTCTAGGATAAACACACAACCTGCTTTCATACAACCAATTCCTAAGAAGAAATAGTGAAATTATTAGTAAGTCTGTGGCAAATCAGTTACTGCAGGGATGAAAGCTTTCTCTGGGAAGATAGTTATTTTAATATATATAGCTTGGATACTGTGATGAAAACTGGTTTTGATTGTCTGTGATGGCACAAGATTGGATTCAGACCTAGAATACATTCCTTTTGCTGTACCATAGCACCCCATCCTCTTACTTTTGAATACTTTCTTCCCTTCAGCTTCCTTGTACACAAAGAAGTAACAAAGGCACCCACAGCATAAAAAAATGGCAGTTTATATATTCCAGTTTAGGATCACAAAGCAGATCTAGGAGCTAAAGCCACCCTTTCTTCTAAGGCCAGAAACTTTTAAAGACAGATACTATGTGTGGGAGATCAGCGCAAGAAAGTGAGCCTGTGACAGGGCACTGCTAACAATATTCTAAGAGGGTTTTTTTTTAAGCTTGAGGAATAGTGGTCTCCTAAATCTAGTCAATTTGTCCACAGCAGCTTCAATTACATTGTGATTAATTGAGAGAGCATTAGTAAAAATCTAGCACCATTTGCACATCTTCCACTTCCTCTAGCTTGGACAGGATGTCTATGCACAAGTACAACAGGCAGAACGCAAACAAGTGAGCCCAGAGAGAGAAAATCACTCTGTTCACTTCTCCCCTAGTGGATCCTGCTCATTACAGGCTTAACTACAGCTTGCACACATTACCACGATAACAATGAAACTCAGCCTTGCCTTGTCTAGGAACAAGAACTTTACTTAGCTGGGATGCTGGGATAGATGAGTCCCACAGAGGAAGCCGAGGGATCTTACCGTGATGCTACTGCTGTGCAAATCCCCTGCTGGGGCAAGGGACTCTCGAAAGCCACCTTGTCTCTGGGAAGAAAACACACCCCAAACCTCAACACGTCCCGCCACTAGCCCGGCAAGCTGTGCCTGGGTTTCGGCTGGGGACCAGGCTCCAGGTCTCAGGGTCGCTCTCCAGCGCCTTCCAAGCCCTCTCCGCGAAACCCGGGTCCCGCAGCATCCCGAACTCCCGGGACAGCTTCACAAAGGAAAGTTGCAAGCTCCCTTTTCCCGCCACGCCGGCAGCGCTTCCCCCGAGCCCCCTCATCCCAAGAAGCAGCAGGCAGGCCCGGCAGCTCCCCGTGTCCCCCGTCCCGGGACTCACCGCCCGGAGCCGCCCAGCGCAGCCAGAGGCACACGGCGGCCAGCAGCGCCTTCCTCCACATCTCGCCTCCTGCCGCGGGACCAAAGCTTCGGCGCGAAAAGAAAAAGAAA